ATGCTATAAAGAACCATAAACCTACAAACAGCAGCAGTTTGTGCACACTTGCCAATTGAATAGGATCTAAGCTCATTATTTAATTTTGTTATGGAAGGAAACCCCCACCCCCTCCTGTTTACAGTGCTTTATCAAACAACAAACCACGCTGCTTAATTTTTCTGAAATATTTGATTCTGCACACYACAACATGTTGCATAAACTCCCAGCTTCTGAGTGTTCAGGAGTTTGCAGCGTCTTTCAGCTGCTGTTTGTGATGCGACTCAGACAGGAAGTGGTCTTCATGTCTCGTCCAGCCCATCATGTGCCGAGAAAGTTCTTCTCCAGATAAATGAAGAACCGCTGGAACATTGTTCTGCCCTATACTGTACCCTAAGACCGCTTCATATTTTTGAAGGACACTTTTGTTTTAGCGAGCTGCGCATCGCAGTTCACTTTTCTTTTTCCCCCTCTCTCCCTGCGTGTCGGGAGTGGAGCTCAGAGCTCACCCTGCGTGCCTGTTAGCAGGTAACAGCAGGTACAGGAAGTGACAGCGGTCAAAATACCTCAGAAACTCACCCAAATAAGCGAACTCGGTGAGATTCAGCGTTTTATACTGGCTTACGATTTGTTTAGTTAATTCTGTGATTCCATCCGTGTTTCATTAGCAACTTATAAAGGGTAATGGAGCAGGAGAAGGTGGATTCTGATTGGTTGTTGTTGCACACATTTACGCCATGTTTGATCGAGTAAGAGGCTCACAGATGATTACCGTGATCGACCTGAATATTTTTTCTCAATATATAAATGCGATCAACTAATCGCCCAGTGCTAGTTTACATTTGTTTTTAAAAATAATTAGCTGAATTTCTCTCATAGCTAGGTGTTTTGTGTTACGATAAACATTTGGGTAAAATTCTCGTTTACTGTTTTTATTTTTTTCAATTGTGTTTATTGTAAAGTTTAATTTAAATTAAATTTTAAGTGGCATTAAAGAGGTCCTATAAGTCTTAAATTTAACTGAGCTGTAGGGACCCTGTAAACTTGCATTTGTAACAAACATCAGTAAAGACTGACTTGTAGGAACAGTAGCTATGRTTACGTCTGCAAAATTCTTTGATCGGATTGAAATGTATTTGGATTAAATAATCGGAACATACTGTTTACACGGACACAATCCAATCAAGACGAGTGTTTACATGCACCGGTCTTTTATTCAGAATAGAAGAACTGACATGCGCAGTTTCTAACTTTCCCTAAAAAAAAAACAGAAAAAAGTTCTACTTACGTCATGAACATAAACAACTTCTGAGCGCRCGGAATAGACCTGCGACAGGTTTTAATAATGGTGGAGACGTTACTGCACTCCCTGGTTCAGCTACTGTTTGTTTGTTTTTTATTTTTGTAAAGCGTCGCAGGCTGTGTGTCTTCTTTTATTGAATGAGAGAACTGGAGGGAAAGTTTTGTGCTGCTGGAAACAGTACTGTTGCCCCTCCCTCCACAAAAGAGCAGAAACAGGTGGATGAAAGTCAGCGGACATGTGCAGTAGGGTTGGGCAAAATCGTATTGTGTGCAATTAATCGTCAGGAAAACATTAATCGACTATTTTTTGGCACTTGACGATTAATACGATTAATGCCACCAGGCAGAGTCCGCTCGGTGCTCCTCTCCACTTCAAATGTGACGAACGTTTAAACAAAAGTTCTGTAATTTATCTATCGACACAATTTAAAATTTGAAGTARAGCCTGAAGTCTGTYATTTTGACACAYTTTGAAAAAGATTTTTAGGAAGAGCAAATCTTTCCCACTAAARTGGTCATSTGACTAGGACATAAGGGTGTCCAGGGACTCCAGGGATTAATCGTCAAATTAATCGTTWTSGSRWAAWWKCKKKAWTWA